TACCCTTACAGTTCTCATAGCGGCAGCAGAAACATTAGGTATCACTGCAAGCACGCGGCACAATTCAATAGACAACACATGAATCTGAGTAACATAAGATTAAGAGTTTGCCAGTTTGGTGAACCATGTTTATCAGCATAAACATACATTCAACCATTCTAAGTATTACGTATCATCACAAACGAACAAAAAATGCATTGTATTATGTTCCATAACAACTCAATAGAGGAATGTATTTAGTCAAAATTTCCCATTAACAAATGCAAACTGACAAAGAGGAACCTAGATTAAGGAGTCTAACAGTCGAGGGATTTCAATTATAAAACTATAGGTTAGATAGAATCATCAACCTCAAGGGAAAAGTCATTATTGTATTAAGCCCCAAATCTTCTGAAACATACCAAAATGAGAGAAACAAATCACAAACTATGAAGCCCTGAAAATCTATCTGACATCCAATTACTTTATGGGGTTAAATTTGGTTTGTTTCATAAATATGTTATATTATTCATGGAATTGATTGATTCCTGTTGGTTGGTGTAATTAAGGAAACATAATCATCTCACAACAACCATCCCTTTTACTGGTTCTTCCTTCGGCTCTCCACTCTTTCACCTGTAAAGTAAAATTAGTGTTCACCTAGAATCATGGAGTTTAAATGTTTTTCATAAACACCCCATTTGAATTTTTTTTGGCATGCTGCGTTCTCGCAAAAAAAAAAAAAAAAACTAAAATAGCCATATAAAGCTTGAAGTAGCAGCACAAAACCAAAATGAAAAATATAGTGACCAAAGTGATTATTAACATCAAACAAAAAACGAACAAAAGCAAGACATTACCAGAAACTCATTTTAATCTATCATACCGCAACACCATAGCAAACCGGAACCTAAGACATTAGCAAATAAATTATGTAATCCACCGGATTAGAATGAAAACGCAAACCATAAACCCAAACGCAATTGATGAGACTCAAATTACAGCAAACAACCAAAAAGAATGGAACAATTGTAGCAGGATAAAAAGGCAGAGTGGAATGACCTCATCAAATAGAGGTCAAGGTTTCCGCATCAAATTGGTGAAGGCAGCTCTCAGCGAACAGAAGCCACCGGTAGCTGCTCTTTCGCTAGTTTCAAGAGATTGAGTGTTCAAGAATAACGAAAATACATAAGCAAACTCAGTCTACTGTTTCTACTCTATACTCATTATTCACACAGAGTTCGAAAACAATATATAGTGGAAGATGTACTTATTTAGCCTAATTTGTCTTCCAAACTGCTTTATTGTCTTTTTTACTGCAGAAGGTTCTTCAGCAGTTCACCTGCACCATGAAAATGATACGGGTGCATTTATCGACAGCCTGCAACCCCATAGAAACCAGCATTATCCCTTGAACCTTTTGTCCTATCAATCCCTCTCCTTCCAACCTCCAAGGAACAACTTTGTGTCTTTGAGCTGCGTCATGAAAAGGATACTGTTGCTTGTACGTACGCTTTGACCTGTGAACTCACAATGGTAATCATAGACCAACTAACCAAGAGAGAAGCTTAGAGAGTGAGTCCATTATTTGGACAAACCTCATTTTAAAATGTGTATCTTTAATCCAACAACTCTAATCAATTAGTTCTCTTTTCTTTACCTGTGATTCTCGTCCATGACCAAAGAGCTCAAAGAAGGCAGCTCAAGCCTCAAAGGATACAAAACTACTAATGCTGCTCCAAAGAGAATAATAAAATGTAATGCGTGTGCATTTCTCTTACCACTCTTTGAAGAATAGGCTATAAGGATGAGCAAAAGCAGAATAAGTAAAAGCTCTAAAATGGGTTATTTGTTCTCCAACTTTAATTGCCAGATAGAACTAAAATCTGATATAGATCTTGAAATTGTCATTGAAAAGACAAACAAAAAGAATCACCATTTTCATCAGCTATGATCTTCGATTTCCTCCTTTCATCAAGATGCAACACAGCAAGACTCTGTTAGCATATTTAAAAAAAAAACATGATGAATAAATACGGCATAAACGATTTTAGTTAGGTACTCATCTTCCCAATGATCAGGAAACCATAAGCCAAATTCCCATCTTGAGGCTGCTTTGAAACAGTCATAGTTCTGAGTTCTGACAGCTATCTCACTGTGGGAGGCCTCATCTACAACAAAACTTACCAGAAATTAGTTGCCAACAATCACGATAAGCCCTGGTGATTTTCATGGAATCTAACACTCCTTCATCACAACACGAATCTCCATTGCTGGTCCAATGGGTTCATCACCCACCACTACTAACAGCTTCCTAAAAAGAGGCTAAATAATGTCATATGTGGAGGAAAATAGAGAGAACCCAAAGAACAAAAAAAAAAATCGAGATGACATACTTAAGGAATTCCTCGGGCCTAATTCGGATCCACAACTTCATATTCTCTATTTCCTTGGAAAGATCCATCTTCTTCATCCACAATCAGCAAGCCTTACAGCCACAAAGAGAGTCCTTCCCCAGGAGAATACTTGGTATGCATCACCTGATCGCTAATGTCAGATCCCCGTGGAATCCAATGAATCAAAATGAAAACTTAAATCAAAACCTAAGTAAACAGAGAGATAAACACACGTGTTTCTAACTTTCTATAGTTCAAAACTTTTCTCACCATCGAAGAGAGGAATTTGACAATCCGCCTATCACCATGGGACGAACACCTTTATGGTGTCTCTTCTCTCCTCTTCTTCCTTATTACTTCCAACGCCACATTGCCCACTTCTTCTTCCCCTAAACCGCAGCGCCACCATTCTCAATCTTCCGCTTACCCCGATTCCACCGCCGCTGGACAAAAGTAACTTCAACTCCGTCCTTGTCTCCCTCCTCGACTCCCACTACACCGAGCTCGGTGACCTTGTCGAGAAAGCACTCCCCACGCTCTAGAGTAATCCGTCGGCAACCACACATAACCACCCCACACAATGGAGCCCTCGAGCGTCGCCTCGACTCCAAGTTCAAGCGCTTCCTCCTAAAGCCTCGCAACCTCCACTCCCTCCGCAGAACAACCTTCGTTGGCAGTGACGGAAGATGATTTCAGCCGCAAAAAAAGTAGTGGGAACCGACGGTTTTTTATCTCTCCTGTCAGGCGGGGATTTCTAATTTAATCCCGTATAACCACCCTGCCACGTCAGACTCCTAAAATCACTATATGCGCAGGAAAATTTGAATGGGGGTTGCAGTTTTACTTTTCAGCTATAAATTATACTGTTGATTAATTGGGTTTCTTTTATACTCAATTAACATGAATTATTCTGTGCGTGTATGGGTAATTAATAGGGAGGGTTTTTTATATAATCGTATAAAAATATCAATAATTTATGTGATTAAAAATAATAATGCTTAAGTTTATAGGAAAAAAGTGCTCAAGAGTCCGAAACTTCTTTACAATATTATTCAAAATTGCAACAGGACTCAATTCACAAATAGATGGGCCATTTCATGGGTCCAATCCTAATGTTTATGGGCCAAGTTTGTGACATAAGGCATAAGGCAAAAAAAATAAAAAAATCTTAAGTAGTAAGTACCAACAAGATTTGAACCCATGTCTTTTACTAAACTAGCATGTTTTCTCAATAGGCACGTATTAGTTTATAATGTAAGCCGAGATATATAGCCCCCCTCCAATACACACAGCTCCGCCACTGGATGTTGATGTTATTCGTTGGATTTAAGTATATTCGTTTGAATGTTAATGTTATTTGTCAGATTCAAGTATAATTGTTTGAATGTGGATGTTAGATGTTGTATTTAACTATGATGATTGGTCATTTGTTCATAATGTTGAATTTTATTGAAACATGTATATATGTTGTATGGAGACCGAAAAGTGTGTCTTTGGATAGATTATATATATGCGTAATTCATTTAGTGCTAATGATCTCTTTTTGTTCCTATATATATTTTGTTAAAACTGACATACATTGATTGTAATCCAATCAAATCATACTACTCCTCTGCTAACCTCACTAAGTTGGACAACTTTCTACTCACCGGATTCCAACATCATCTCGTGTCATCTTCCTTTTGAGCTGCATGTTGACCAAACAATACGACAATAACTAAAAATAAGAAAAAATGTCAAACTGGCATTTATTGAGTTATATTTCAGTGCGTGTAAGTTGTAACAAACTAACAATATAGTTATTAGAGAATAGCTAAATTGTGTACCAGTTGGCCAGAAAGGATTATCACTAATCAGAATGAATGAAGTATTCCAATACAAATCCATGAACCTGATAGACAGGCTTTTGTTTAGTCTTATACAATAAACAAATTGTTTTTAAACAATCCACTAATCTAATCCGTATGCTTAAAATCCTTAATCCTAGAGAGAGGACAGGGTGGCAGAGTAAAGGAAAGGGCCAAGTCAACACTTTCTCACTTGTTGTCCTTTTGAAAATTTAGTAATTTACAGAGAGCTTAATAAATTTCCCTCAGCAACCAACCACACACACAACAAACAAAGCAACCGCTTCAGCTCAGAAAGCTCCAAAACAAAGCCATCTCTGCCATTCGTCCGTCTAGAAAAGAAAACACGTCCTTTTCCCGTCCTTTCCTTGGCCATCACTCTGTTTCTTACTTTTCCCGATATTATAATTTTCCTCTGAAACTTTCCCCACTTGTATATTATTAACCTCTTAACCTGGTCAAAGTAAGCGACTGGGAAGGGCCATGGGTGTGATTTATAGACAACTTATCTTTACATGATGATGATTCCCCACCCCCATACATGAGAAAAAAGTCGCCTTTCCAAATTTCCGCTTTCACACTACATTCCACCTCCCTTTCTTCCTTTGCCCTGCCTCACGGGCTTCTCTTGTTTCTTCATTTGCCCTGCTTCTCGAAAGCTGGGAAACTTTCCTAATTTGGGTCTTTGCCTACTCTCCTTCTGCTGCTGGGAAAACAGCTGATCTCTTCATCTTTGTTTCTATTTTTTCGGGCAGAGAAGCTTGGTCGTGTTCATTTCATGGGTTCCTGCTTTAGTTCCAGAATCAAAGCTGGTAACCCCTCTTTAATGGTACCTTCCCCAATTCTCTACACATTTCTGCTTATAATTTTTTTCCTTTATTTGGGGTCTTCTTAATTTGTCCCCCTTTCCAGAAAAGTCCATTTCTTTTTTTTTTTCTAAAAACTTTATTAGCTCATTTTGTTCTAGGTTGTTTTCCCCCTTTCTGTGGATTGAGGCTATGTCCAAATGAAACTATTATGAAAGTTTAATGATGTTGGTGGGTTTTGGGCAGGGGCAAGGAAAGATTTGAGCTTGTCGACGAGCAAGGTGTCATCATCAGCTGGGACAGTGCCCACTACGCTGAGAACAGAAGGCAAGATCTTGCAAGCCACAAACTTGAAGAGCTTTACCTTCGGCAATCTCAAGGCAGCCACTAGGAACTTCCGCCCCGACAGTTTGTTGGGTGAAGGAGGGTTTGAGTGTGTTTTCAAAGGATTGGTAGAAGAGAATTCACTCACTGCTGTAAGGCATGGAACTGGGATGGTTATTGCCGTCAAGAGGCTTAACCAAGAGAGCTATCAAGGCCACCAAGAACGGTTGGTAATTGATTACAAGTCCTCGCATTATTTTTGCCCCTTTTAATGCCCTGGAGTTCAGAAATGGGAAAGATGAATTGGAACCTGATTTTCTGTGTTATTTGATTGTGAATGGTGGGTAGACGAAAATCAACTACCTGGGGCTACTGTACCATCCAAGCCTAGTGAAATTGATTGGTTACTGCATCGAAGATGAACAACGGCTTTTGGTCTAAGAGTTCATGTCAAAGGGCAACTTGGAGAATCATCTCTTTCGAAGTGAGTTGTTATGAATCATTTAACCGATGATCCAAATAATTGGAGTCATTAGTAAAGTTGTAAGATTGAATAATGTTAATGCATCAGTTGCTTATAGTAGCAACAATGTTGTCTGAAACATTACTGTTGTTGTACATGAGCTTTTTATTTCCAACCTTTGTCTTGGAACCTGCACATGAAGGTTGTCGTTGATGCTGCTAAAGGTCTAGCATTCCTTCACAGCGATAAGGCCAAAGTCATATACCGCGACTTCAAGACTTCCAACATCCTTCTCGATTCGGTACTGTGAAAACGATTACAATGTTAATAACTTTGTTCCCTGTACTTGTAGTCAGCACTTTGCATTGCATCTCTCCCTAACAATATTAATTATCCTCAAATTTTGTAATTGGGATGCAGAGCAACAACGCTAAGCTCTCGGATTTCGGGCTAGCCAAGGACGGTCCAACTGGGAGTAAGAGCCACGTCTCCACAAGAGTCATGGGCACATATGGCTATGCAGCTCCTGAGTATATGGCCACAGGTGCATATTGATACATATGGCATCCCAACATTATGCTTCCATTCCTTCCTTGTTTGCTTACTTTGTGTACTAATTTCTTTTCGTCCCATTTTCAAGGTCATCTGACAGCAAAGAGCGATGTGTGTAGCTTTGGGGTTGTCCTGCTGGAGATCATCTCTGGCAGGAGAGCTATAGACAAGAACAGGCCGTCAAGGGAGAAGAGCCTCGTGGAATGGGCGAGGCCTTACTTGGGTAGCAAGCAAAAGATCTTCCAAGTGATGGATGCAAGGATCGAAGGGCATTACACAGTGAGTTGCGCGCTGAAAGTGGAGACGCTAGCAGTGAGATGCTTGTCAGCAGAACCCAAGTACAGACCAAACATGGAGGAAGTGTTGAGGAGTTTGGAGCAGATTTATCACGAGTGTGGCAGTAGTAACGAGGGTGAATTGTCATCAAGATCGAGAGAAGCACGAGCCGACAATGGTGGTAAGCCGAGAAGTAAGAGAACCAATGGAGTTCACGTTGTGGGTAATGGCAGCAGCAGCAGAGCAGCTCCCACTTCTCCCGGACCATCCACTTCACCTCTCCGTGGGTAGTTTGTATGTTGTATATCTGAGGATGTACAGGGTTGTTGTTGTACAACTGTTTAGTCTAATTTCCCTCTCTCCCAATGTCAACTTGTTTTGACATGTTCGTGACTGGTAACTTGCCTTGACTACAGATTGGTTCATGAATGATTTGTTGCTTGATTTCTCATTGATAGTGTATATGGAATGATCCAATCCCTGAGATGAAGGGTTGGAGTCAACGATATGGAAGGCAAAAGTAGGTGTATGACAAAGAATCATCAAAGAAGACAAACGTTGCGGGGAGAATCATGTCTTGGAAATGAATCATTGAGATCCACTAGGTTTCTAGTAAACATAGTATGTTACTTTATATTAAACATGTCCCACATATTGTCCTGTCGACATTTATTATTAATGTGACTTGACATAATCATTTATTGATTTACTAGATTGAAACCCGGCCCATTGGCCGAATACATTTCACCATTGTTGAATTCACAATAGTAGTTGTATGAATTAAAATACTTTTTCCCCCCGATAAATAGACCCTCCATAAATCATTAGGAAAAAAAACAGAATGTACTATTACAGATTAAAATACTTTTTTGTTGATACCATATAGAATCTAAATTCTTCCATTAAAAAATATTGAAAAATAACCTACATCATTAAAAAAAGTCAACATTTTAATCCATGCAAGGATGTAAAGAAACCAAATCCTACGAAAATTATATAACCACACTTTATTTAACTATTTTGCATTAAAATTATGGCAAAATTTGTCCAGACTTACTTTAATTTCAGTTGTCCCTTTGTCACATTGGAATTTGATAATAATAATTATTAAAATTTTGAATTTCTGTTTTGCTACTTTATGTGATGATGCCAATTTTCCTTCCAAGGTCTTTTTTTTTACGAAAATTCTTTCTTTTCATGTTTACGTGAATAATATGAATAAAATATATCAATTGTACACCAGGAACATATTTTTTTATTTGGAACCACAAAAAATTATAATTATTCAATTACTTGAAAAATGAAGAATTGACTTACATTATAGAGTTTTCCAATAATCAAATTGAGTCATCTATGAAAGTTCTTCTTGAAATAAATACCAAGACTAAAGCAAGGAATTTGAATTCTGAAAAAGCTAATCAAGTAACACTTCACTTCACCACGGGTTGTCACACATTAGAGCGATTTTCTGTTGGCTTTGACATTAGCCCACCATCAACAACATCATTGTCACAATCATTAACAACATAATTATCCTCATCGTCTACTCTACTGTTTTCATCTTTAAAATATGAATTCACTTATGAAATTTATAATTTTCTACTCTCTCATTCATGTGATTTTCACTCCAGTAGGAGAAGGGAAGGAGGATGTACTCTTGCCTCTATTTTGAAATAGTTTCTCAGAATCACACAACTGAAAAAAATCTTAGTCCTTCGTACTTTAAAACTATAAAATTATATATATTCAATATTTTTCTTCACAACATCAAGTTAGATTGGAATTCACTATTAAATTGAAAAGTATAATTATATATGCCCAAAACCCCTCCACCTTTGCAACATTGCTCGCCCTCCACTTTATAATTGTGTATTTTTTTATACTCCCTTCACTGCCTTGCATAAACCCTTGTAAGCAATTCTAATTAAGTTATATAAGTCTTAAGTGAAATGAATAAGCACAATCTTAATATTAATTTAGATAAAACATATTTAGTGGCTAAATCATTGAGAGAGAACATCTTAGACATATTGATGTTGTCATTCTTTTGCAAGAATCGAAGGGCAGTACACTGTGAGTTGCGCACTTAAAGTGGTGACGCTTGCAGTGAGATGCTTGTCAGCAGAACCCGAGTACAGACCAAACATGGAGGAAGTGTTGAGGAGTTTGGAGCAGATTTATCACGAGTGCAGTAGTAGTAACAATGAGGGTGAAGTATCCTCGATACCGAGAGAAGCACGAGCCAACAATGGTGGTAAGCCGAGAAGTAAGAGAACCAATGGAGTTCAAGTTGTCGGTAATGGCAGCAGCAGAGCAGCTCCTACTTCTCCCAGACCATCCGCTTCACCTCTCCGTTGGTAGAGTTTGTGTGTTGTATATCCGAGGATGTACAGGGTTGTTGTTGTGCAGCTTTTTAGTCTAATTTCCCTTTCTCCCAATGTCAACTTGGTTTGACATGTTCTTGACTGGTAACTTGCCTTGACTACAGATTGGTTCATGAATGATTTGTTGATTGATTTCTCATTAATAGTGTATACGGAATGATCCAATCCCTGAGATGAAGGGTTGGAATCAACGATATGGAAGGCCAAAGTAGGTGTATGACAAAGAACCATCAAAGAAGACAAACGTTGCTGGAAGAATCATGTCTTGGAAATGGATCACTGAGATCCACTAGTTTCTAGTTAACATAGTATGTTACTTTATATTAAACATGTCCCACATATTGTCATGTCGACTTTTATTATTAATGTGGTAGTGTCATTTTAAAAATGACAAGCACAATTTAGAGTGACTTCACATAATCATTTATTGATTTATGTTAGGACCAAAAAAAGGAGACATGCAATGCAAATTACAAATGATAGGAAGATGAGGGGTTTAGGATTGGAAAGATTAGGTATAAAGCGAGTTATTAACATGGGTAATGATACATATTTAGGTATGATTCAGTCTCATTATGATAAGGACCCGCCGAGTGGGGTGAGTGGGTAGGAGGAGACGGGTTGGGTTCGACCATATCGGCCGGGTTTGAGTGGCAGTCTTGTTATTTTCTGTTAGTCCCCTGAAACTCATTAAAAATGGTTCAGTACGTTCATTGTGGAATTAAGCAATAAGAATATCAAAATCTCTAAATCCCTCTTTCTCTGTTCTTCCCCAATCCTTTCCAATCCCTAATTCTTCTTCTCAATTCCCAATCTCGTCTTCTTCTATCACATTATCTATAGATCTTAAAGTGTATAACATTTATTTCTTCGACTATAAAGTCTTTGAGTGAGAGGGTGAATGTATGCTTAGCATGGTGCCTCGTTTGTTAAGCACTGGAACATTTATTTCTTCAATGTCGTTGGTTTGTGGAAGGATACACTAGTCTTGTAGTTGCTCGGCGGGGTTGAAAGAGGTTAACTTCGCTTTGTTCTTTCCACGATTGATGGAGCGAGATAGTTCCCAGTCCCAGAGAGAGTCATACGGGTAGTGACAGTATAGTTAGTAAAGTTACGTGTATAATACGTACAAGTATTTTACTTCATCTCTAAGCTAAAGTTACGTTTAATAGTACGTTAATTAGTAATAAATATATAAATTAATTATTTTTAAAATAAATAAATATATCAATAATAGTAAAGTTAACATTTTAATTGATTAAATACGAATATTAAATGTGTTATACGGGTTTATATGTGTTTAGTACGGGAGCCATCAAATAAATGGAAAAAAATTAAACGACTTGACAATAATACGGATACAAAAGTTTTAAGCTGATAAACTACATTTGGATGTTGTTCGATCATGTTCATTGTTCAGTACTCTAGTTCGATATTGCTAACGTAATATCGATCCCAAGTGGAAGAGTAGATTGCTCTACCATATTTGGGTCACAATCCGAAGTACGAACCTGGCCCAAATTAAGAATGGGCTGGACCAAAACTGGAGTAAGGCTTATCATCGTCCTTCCCAACTTACCGGCTGAGGTTCTTCTTCTAAGTTGCTATTGGCGAGCAAGCAATTTGCTAAGGCCAAGGGTTTTTACTTTAGAGATAGAGTTCTAATTCAGCTTGCAGTTCATGAAAACCACCGGAGAAGGGATAGCGAAAGGGGAACCCCAAATGACGATTGCTGCTCCTGCATGTCTCCGTCCCGACCATCGTCCGGCCTGGCTTCCGCTCCCTCTCCGCCGCCTCAGCTCGCAACCTCCACCGCCGCCCAGTCGTTGTCGCCCTTGATTCGCGCGTGCTCGACTTGTTCGAACCGGAGCTTCAACTGCTAGCTCTCGACCTCGGCCAGGTAATTCCGATTAGCAGCTGCTCTGTAACTTTCTTCTTCTTCCTGGGTTTGCTGCTAATGTTTAACCTTTATTAGACCTATTACTTTGCTGTTACCCTGTGGTTATTGATTAAACTGGAAGACAAAAGGCTGAATGAAAGTGTTGAAACTGTGGGGTAATTGGGTATCTGATTAGGGGAAAAACCAATACGACGGAGAAGAGTGTCTTCAAGCCCTTCCTTTATATCATATTAGAATCGGTACCTAATATGTGTACCAAGTTGCCAAAAAATGGATAATTAGAGAGAAGTATTCCAATACCTGACAGTCTTTTGTTAGTCTTTAAAAATTACAAATTGTATAAACTATAACTATAAACGTACCCTACTGTCCACTAGTCTAATCCTTATGCTTAGAATCCTTAATAACGCGCCAAGTCAGCCCACTGTTCTCCTTTTGCAAGATGATGGGATTTTCGGAGTGGTTAATGAATTTTCCAAGCAAACAACGCCACTTCAGCTGTGAAAATTCCAGAGGCACCTCGCTCGGCTGCGAAACCTACCTTCATTTTCCTGGTAGAATCTTTTTCCCGCGAAATTTCCTCGTTTTAAATTATGATTTATCATTGACTTCTTAAGTCTCAAGTCTTAATTTTTTATGAAAAAGTCTCAAGTCTTAATTAACCAGTCGAAGTATGCAACTGGGAAGGTCCATCGTTCATATGGATGACAGACAGCTTATCTTTATGAACGATGACTCCACGCCCCCAACTCCATCCCCATCCCCCATATATGACTGCTCTCGCACTACATTCCTGATTCCACCTCGCTTTCTCTCTTCCCTCCCTCAGAGACTTCTCTTCTTTTCTTCTTTTATCATTCGCCCTGTGTCTGCAAAGCTGGGAAACTTGTTGGTTCTCTGCATCTTCTTTCTTTCCTGCTGCTGAGAAACTGTTGATCTCTTCTTCTTTCTTTTTCCGGGAAGGGAAGCTTGGTCGTGTTCATTTCATGGGTTCCTGCTTTAGTTCCGGAATCAAAGCTGAAAGCCCCTCCTCTAATGGTACCCTCTCCCAATTCTCTCCATACTTCTGCTAATCATTGTTTCTTTATTTGGGTCTTCTTAATTTGTTTCATTTTCCAGTAAAGTCTGTTCCTTTTCTTCTTTTTTAATGATTTGATCACTCAACATAGGGGGAAACTGGAATGTTAATTTGCTCCCTTTGTTCTGGGTTGTTTTTCCTGTATCTCTAGGTCGACAATAAGTGTTGTCATCCCTTCCATTACCATACAAACCTTCTAAATTATTTGCGGTTACTTGAGCTTTACACCATCCATCTCGAGTTGTTACTTCAAGTTCATCCACTGCGTAATCTTATGGTTACTTGCTCTCCAAGTTCTGTTTGACGTGGTGTCATTGTTAAGCTTTACTCAAACACTTCCCTTTGTGGTTTGACGCTATGTTCAGTGCTGGAAAGATCGTCGGCTTTATAATTATAATCTTCAGAAACTCCGATTTCAGCGCTAATTGATGCTAAGTTCAATGATGTTGTTGGGTTTGGGCAGGGGTGAGGAAAGAGTTTGCCGTCTCTAACAGCAAGCCATCATCATCAGCTGAGACCATTCCTACTACGCCTAGAACAGAAGGTGAGATCTTACATGCCACAAACTTGAAGAGATATACCTTCAGCGATCTCAAGCTAGCCACTGGAAACTTCCGCCCCGACAGTCTACTAGGTAAAGGCGGGTTTGGGTGTGTCTTCAAAGGATCGGTTGACGAGAATTCATTCACTGCTGTAAGGCCTGGAACTGGGATGCCTGTTGCCGTCAAGAGGCTTAACCAAGAGAGCTGTCAGAGTGACCAGGAATTGCTGGTAATATATCTTCAAACTTTTGTCCCCTCTTAATTTCTTGGAGTTCAGAAATGTGAGCGAGGAATGAAACCAGATTGTGTGTAACGTGTTTTTGATAATGGTGGGATGGTGATAGGCTGAAATCAAGTAGCCCATAAATCATTCATCTTCGAGTGTTGCAGCCCGACGCAGCCCAACATCGCTACCGAAACTACATGGAGTAGCCAGCCCATTTCAACATAAGCTTGTTGCCGTAGGAGAACTCTTTTAATTGAATATGGTTGTTAGTTGAGTGAGTCAGCATTAGTTGTTAGATTCTTTTGGGTTGTTTACACAATTAGTGGAGTTAGTTTAGGAGTTCATAGTTAGATGAACGTGGGGTTAGTTGCACTAATTAGATAGGTCTTTTCCATTTTCTTTGTGTATTTAAGTTGAGATTAGATTCAATAACAGTAAGCATAATTTTAGCAAAGAAACCCCCTGGTAATTTCTCGCCAAGAAAAGAGAGAACTGGCTCAATCCCGCCAAGAAAAGGGATCCATTCGCTCATACGATTTCAACACGTATCATTTGGTATCAGAGTTGTTGATCCGGATTTCGATCACGATGAGCTCAAAGAGACCATTGAGGGAGGAGGAACTCATTAATCAGGCACTCAGGCAGATAGAGCGTGTCATGGCTACCTGTCGCATGATCATTGCGATGTATGACAAACACAGGTCAGCAACAACACCACCGAGGCCGCAAGTCGAGACCCTGGCCGCCATGGGAGAGGCGAAGATCGTCCTCCCACCTGTAGCCACCGCACCGCCACCGTCGCTAGCTGAAGCTCTAGCAGACTCGATAAAGGAAGAGGAAGAAGACGACGCCGACGCCGATGCCGCAAAGCCATTGCTGTCACAAGTTGAGACCTTTGTTACCGTGAAGGTGAATCCATTCCCCATCACTTCCACCTTAGTTCCAACGCAGCTCGCTGCGTCGCTGATCTCCCCACCTCTGCGCACAACGGAATCACCATCCCTCGTCGTTGAACCAAAGTCACCGCTCAAATCAACTGTCAAGGCCGCTCCTGCTACCCTACGCCTCACCGTAAAGCATGATCATATGGGAAAGCTGCAAACTTTGTTGGTTACGGATCGTCGACAAATACAAGGGTATGTCCTATCAATGGATATCAACATAATTTCCAAGTATGTTATGCAATTTAGAGGAAGAATAATATTGGGCGAAATAAAGCCTTGGAAGTTCAGAAAGAAATGTGAAGCGCTAGTAGGATTATATGGGGTTGATTGTGAATTTCTCTACTGGTGGAAGAGAAGGAAAAAGGGTAAAGCCAACATGGCTCTCACTTTAAAGAAAGGGAAGCTTGAGCTCCCAGCGAGGAAAGGGCAAGGATTAGGTGGCAAGTCCTACAAGCAGAAGCGCGAGGTCGAATTTACTGCCGCCGCTGGTAACGACAATTATGAGTCCATGGAGATCGACTCTTCCTTGCCCCTATCGGCAGAGCAATCGACGGTCTCTTCGGTTGACAATCCCGACCAACCAAACTTTAAGACCCCAATATACAACGGGGTGATCACGAGGATCATCTCGGGTTGGAACTGAAAGTGTTTCAGGAAGCGCCTGTTGTGGTCGAAGGTTGTGAGCAGGCGAGTGGCATCATTCGAGGAGCGGGTGAACCAGCTGAAAAGGGGTGACCGAGCTCAGGAAGGTGATGGGAAGACCGGTTCAGCTATATGGGTTGACTCATGGGTCAAACAACTGACGGGTATGGGTCAAGAATGGAATCGGGTCTTGGAAGGCCGCATTTCATCAACGATACTACCTGCAAGTTGGCTTCCATTTTCGATGATCGCTTCATTGAACTCAGCCTTGAGGACAAGGCTGTTTTTTCAGGGGATGGTAATGATGAGCCCATAAATCATTCATCTTCGAGTGTTGCAGCCCGACGCAGCCCAACATCGCTACCGAAACTACATGGAGTAGCCAGCCCATTTCAACATAAGCTTGTTGCCGTAGGAGAACTCTTTTAATTGAATATGGTTGTTAGTTGAGTGAGTCAGCATTAGTTGTTAGATTCTTTTGGGTTGTTTACACAATTAGTGGAGTTAGTTTAGGAGTTCATAGTTAGATGAACGTGGGGTTAGTTGCACTAATTAGATAGGTCTTTTCCATTTTCTTTGTGTATTTAAGTTGAGATTAGATTCAATAACAGTAAGCAGAATTTTAGCAAAGAAACCCCCTGGTAATTTCTCGCCAAGAAAAGAGAGAACTGGCTCAATCCCGCCAAGAAAAGGGATCCATTCGCTCATACGATTTCAACACGTATCATATCTGGGGCTGCTGTTCCATCCAAACCTAGTGAAAATGGTTGGTTACTGCATCGAGGAAGAACACTGGTTTTTGGTCCATGAGTTCATCCCTATGGGCAGCTTGGAAAATCATCTCTTCAGAAGTGAGTTATGACCAAACTTTTCCTTGTGCTAATTTCCATAACATCACGGAAAAACCTCAATAACTTGTGTCATTAGGAAAGCTATCAGATTGGATAATGTATCAGTTGCTTATAGTAGCAACGATGTTGTCTGAAATATTATTGTTGCTGTCATAGGAACTTCTCATTTCCAAACTTTGTCTTGGAACCTGCGTATGAAGATTGCAGTAGATGCTGCGAAAGGCCTAGCATTCCTTCACAGCAGTAAGGACGAAGTGGCATTCGCAGAATTCAGTACTTCCAATATCCTTCTAGATTCGGTAACTTGAAAACGAGAACATGTTATTGACCTTTTCACTGTCCTCATAGCCAGCACTCTGCATTCCGTCCCCTAACAGCATTCATTTTTCCTGTAACTGTTTAATGGTAATAGAGCTACAACGCTAAGCTATCGGATATTGGTTTAATCATGAAGAATCCTGTAGAGAGAATGAACCCCTGGGACACAAGAATCAGTGCTCCATTTGATGGTGGAGCTCCTGAGTACATAGCCACAGGTAACCCTACATGCTGCACAATGATATGATATCCCAAAATTATGCTTCCATTCCGCCCTTGTCTTGTTCACACTGTTATTTTCTTCTCTGTCCTGTATTGAAGGGCTTCGGACATCGAAGAGCGATGTGTATAGATTTGAGGTAGTCCTGCTAGAGATAATTTCGGGCAGGAGAGAATTGGACAGGAACAAGCAGTTGAGGGAGAGGTTCCTTGTAGAATGGGCGAGGCCTTACTTGAGCAACAAGAAAAAGATCTTCCACGTGATGGATGTGAGGATTCAAGGGCAGTACAACGTCAAGTGCGCGCTCAAAGTGGCGGCCCTAGCACTGATATGCTTGTCGGCAGACCCCAGGTGTAGACCAAACATGGAACAAGTGGTGAGAAGTTTGGAGCAGATTTATCACAGCAGTAGTAGTAGTAGGTAGTAGTAGTTGCAGCAGTAGTAATGAGGGTGAGTTATCTGGAGGATCAAGATCGAAAGAAGCACCGAGTTACACATTGGTAGTAATTTGAGAAGGAACAGAACCAATGAAGTTCATGTTGTGGGTAATTGAAGGGCTCCTCCTCCTTGTCCCAGACTTGTGCATCTCCTGTACCTTGATAGATGCATGCCAACATCAATTGGTTGTATTATGTGTTCGACCTTGATCCAAGGCTGAATTGCCCAATGTCCATTTTGCTTTGGAGTTGGGAAGTTTGTGTTGTATTTTCTGGGATGTACAAGTGACACGCTAAAACACAACACCAAACTGCGACCAAGTGTAATCGCAGTCCGGGAATGCAGTAACAGGCAAGTTCAATTATCAACCCGGGGTCTAGATCTACTGCTTACTCCGTGATTCTCTATTATCTAGCAAACTAGTTCGAGTGATTGTTGTTAAAAGCAAAAGCAACAAGAAAGCAGTAAATTGTTCGATTTTCAAAGTCATGAAAGAGTCACTCGGGATTGAGCCCCCCTAGCCCCTTAGTTAGGTTCAATTGTAATTCCCTGGGTTGATTTACTGTTGATTAGACTGCGGAAGATCCGACAGTAGCTTGGAATCTCTTAAGCTGACCAAGCCCTCTCAGTCTAACTACCGGCAGACGACTAGTCTTCACCGGGATAGAAAGCTGAGGCTATGAACACAGAACTCCACTACTGGAATTGAATTCCAGTACAAAGCAGTAAACTGGCTAACTCTCGTATAGCCAATCTCCTACTATCGAATGAAGAGGCTCTAACAACCTAATCAGATTCTATCTATCTCAGGTTGCAGCAGAAATTGAGAAAAGCTGATCAGACTCCAATCAATTCAATAAACATGCATCATTCGATTAAAATCAAACAGTAATATCATCCCAAGTCATTACAATCAAATCCCTAACACAAGGAACTAGGGTTCTTCATACCCAAGTGAGAGAAGGGTTCTACTCCATAGAGAGAGAAGAGAAAACAGTAATCTGATTAGTCATACTCATAACGATGAGGAAAATCTGCTCCGGGACGATGATTTCCACTCCTATGACGATCTCCAAGCTCGATTCGATGAAATCCAGCTCTAAGATAGCTTCTAGAATGTGTTCTTCGTACTTTCTCTCTCTAGGGCTCTGTTTTTGCTCTGAAAACTCGATTCTCCAACTTTTGGCTCGGAATAGGCTCTAAAACCAGGATTTCCCGACTCGCACGGCCAGGCCACACGGCCGTGCAGATCACCACTTTGCCCGTGCGAGTCAAAACGCGGCGCATCAATTAGTCGATCTTCAGCCATCTCACACGGCCAGGGTGGCACGGCCGTGTGAGGAATCCAGTCTGCCCGTGCTCGGCCTCGGCAAAGATCACACGGCCAGGGTTGCACGTTGCACAGCCGTGTAAATTCATGGGTTGCCCGTGCGTGGCCTCGGCAAAAAGCACACGGCCATCTTGCTCACTTGCACGGCCGTGTGACTCCCTGGTCTGCCCGTGCAGCTTCCTTGAAACCTCGCCATTCGTCCGAACTTCGTCCAATCGACCCCAGACTCGCTCCCAAGCCTTCATTCACGTACTAGGACCTGAAATATCACAAACAAGCACAACCTAGCGTGAAATCGGCCTAAAACACGAGAATCAACACCTCAAACGGTGTAAGAACGAGGGTAAAACATGTGTAAATAAC